ACACATATACACACACACACATATATATACACACACACACACATACATATACACACATTTATACATACATACACACACAAACATACACACACATATCTATACATCTATACATACACACATACTGCACATACATACTCATTGCACATACACATTGCACATACACATTGCACATACACATTGCACATACACATTGCACATACACATTGCACATACACATTGCACATACACATTGCACATACACATTGCACATACACATTGCACATACACATTGCACATACACATTGCACATACACATTGCACATACACATTGCACATACACATTGCACATACACATTGCACATACACATTGCACATACACATTGCACATACACATTGCACATACACATTGCACATACACATTGCACATACACATTGCACATACACATTGCACATACACATTGCACATACACATTGCACATACACATTGCACATACACATTGCACATACACATTGCACATACACATTGCACATACACATTGCACATACACATTGCACATACACATTGCACATACACATTGCACATACACATTGCACATACACATTGCACATACACATTGCACATACACATTGCACATACACATTGCACATACACATTGCACATACACATTGCACATACACATTGCACATACACATTGCACATACACATTGCACATACACATTGCACATACACATTGCACATACACATTGCACATACACATTGCACATACACATTGCACATACACATTGCACATACACATTGCACATACATATTATACATTAATGATTAAAAAATAATAAATAAATAATTTGTTTAGTTTCCTTTTGCGGATTAATTGGTTTCAAAGAGTTTACTATTGATAACAAACAGTGGCTAACAATCATAATCAATGAACGGATCAACGATCGTAACGGTTGTTATATTTATGAATACTATCGACCAAAACAACACCGACAACAACAACCTCGAGGTCTGCGACGGACTAAACGAGACGAACAACTTCTGGCTGACGGATGTCTACCACACAAGACATCAGTCGGTTTGTCGGCCATTACTGTCTTTATTAGAGATATTATATGGCATTCAATTTAATTTAATTTAATTAATTAATTAATAATTAATTATATGATTAATATTGCATTTTATACAATAATATTAAATTTATTGTATGTATATATATATATATATATATATGAAACACAAAATATAGTTAATTAATTATTTAAAATTAATTATTATTATTARTTWTTAAATATTATAATAATGTTTTTTTTTTGTTTTTTTCATAATATAAAATTAGTAATAAAATTATTAGTTAACAACAAATTTATATATACTTTAGTATCCCCCCCAAAAAAACTACTAAACATAATAATTAAATATTATAAAAATTAACTAAAATTATATTTATATAATAATTATATAGTTATAATTATAAACTTGTCGGGTGGGGKTGGGGTGGGTGTAAACTAAATTTTTTAAAAAAATTGCATGTTAATAATATATTTTTTGGGAGGGGGTTTAGTGTCTAGTTTATTATTAAATAGATTTTAATTTTTTTACAAAAATAAGCTAGTTAATTTTTTATTGTGTGTGTGTATAAATATTAATAATARTATATAACTTTATTTTTACTATCATCATGGTAAAATAGCTAAAAAAAATTATTGCTTATAAATACTAAATTATATGATTAAAAATTTTATATAAATTATTTTTATTTATTTATTTAAATTAAATGTTTTATACAATACAATTAAAGTTGTTTTTTAAGTTTTATTATTATTATTATTATTATTATTATTATTATTATTATTATTATTATTATTATTATTATTATTATTATTATTATTTTTATTATTATTTTATTTTTATTATTATTTTTTAAAATTATTATTTTATTGAAATCAAAAAAATTAAATCAACAAATAATAATAATAATTGTAAAAATATATTTTACAATTGTTTAACAATTTTTTGTATATCATTAAAGAAATTGTTTAAAAAATTTTCAACTTTTTTATACTCTTTGGGATACTTTTGATGCAATCGTTGGACTTCCTGTTTGATTACATCAATCAAATGGTTGCCTAAATTTTTGTAAAATTCTAGTAAAACTGATCGTAATTTTTCGATATCTACGGGTTTTAATTGTTCAGAAATATCGGTAAACAAATCGACTAATAGTTGTTCCAATTCGGGTGCCGATACCGGTCGACCCATACGTTTCCGATTCAATACTAACCGTCCGAACAAATGTTTGATTTCGACGGCTAACTGTCCAAACAGTTTCCCGGCATTCGCGACAAATACGGACAGTTCACGGGTTTCCGGTTTTTCAGCCAATACTGACTGAAATAATTCCAGCGAATTAACTAAATCGTCGATCAGTTGGCCTAAATCATTGTGCAGTAGGAAMGGTATGTCCGGGACAGGGGTTTTACTAATGTCGGCAAACAATTTGTCCAACAATTTGYCTATTTTTTCTAGTTTTGGTCCGTATTTTTGGATCAGTTTTTCTAAACCATTGCCCTTTAATAGCGAAACCAAATCAAACTTTTCGTCTACTTTAGTATTAACTAAGTTATAGTTATAATAATAATAATAATAATAATAATAATAATAATATTAATATAGTTAGCGATTTAATTAGTAATTGAATTAGTAATATAGTTAGTAATTTAATTAGCGATTTAATTAGTAATTGAAAATTAGTAATATAGTTAGTAATTGAAAATTAGTAATATAGTTAGTAATTTGATTAGTAATATTAGTTACATTAGTATTAATTATAATATTAGTATTACTAATAATTAGTAATATAATTAGTAATATAATTATAGTTTAATAAATTACCTTGTTCACTTAGGTTAAGTGCCAAGACAAAAATTAGAAACATAACTACTATAAATTGTTTTAACATTGTTTTAATTTTATTACAAATTTGTTTATAAATTAAAAATAAATATTTWAAAAAAAATAATAACTACTAATTAAATTGAAAATTTAATTAATATATAACTAATATACAGTATAACTACTAAATCTTTATATACTTTAAAAAATTTTCATAAAAAAAACAAAAATTAATTATTACTAGTTTTTACATTTTATTTTATATACACTATTAGTTATAGATTAGTACTGTAGACTATTTATAAAAAATTATATAAAATTTTAAGATTTATTATTATTATTATTTATTATTATTTATAACTATATGATGACAAACAATTATTTATTTATATATATATATATATATATATATAATTCCTTAACCCTCAACCCCCTCTATTTTAACCTAATAATTATCAAATATAATATATTATATATAAATTATTATTAATATTATTATASTGTATATTAAACAYATATATTATGTAAAAAGTCAAAAACATTTCAACAACAAAAAAAAATGTTGTTAATTATTATTATTAKTATTAAGTTATTTTATATATTAATTATAAACTTAATTAAGTTTTTTTTAACACACAWATCATTTAYGAYACCAATGATATTAATCATTTAATAAAAATTAGTTTTTTTTATTCAATAGCTATACTAAATTGTCTTTTTTATACTTAACTATATTAACTATAATTTTTTGATTTAACCTAAAATTTAACTAGATAACATTAGGAAACAATTATCTACAATTTTACATGTTTAGAAATTTAGTTTTTTTTTAATTTTTACAATTTTTTTTATTAATAAAACTTATATTGATAAAACAATACATATACAATTATTATTATTTTTATATTACAACAATAATTTATTACAATAAAAAGTTAATTTAAACAATAATAATAAATTTGAAAAGTATAGAATATTAAAATAAATATATTTATTTTAGTTATAACTAAAATTGTGTAAAATATTATTTTATTTTTTTAAAATATATGTAAAATTAATTTAGGTATTAATATAAGTTTAATTAAATAATAAATATTAGTGTAAAAAATTATATAATTATAGTTATTTATTTGTTTACAAAAAATAATAATAATAATATGATTTATTAATTTAGTATTAAATATAATTAATAAAACTATTAATTATTACAATAAAAAATTTTGTACTCAAATAATATATACTTATATTGGATCATATGATATATATATATATATATATTAATATATTAATAAAGATTTTATTATTTTTAAACTAAGTATTAATCAATAATTATATTTATTAATTAATTAATCTAATTATAACTATATATAGATTTAATGATAAAAAATTTAGTGAACCTGACAATAATATATATATATATATATATATATATATTAATGATATATATATTTAATATATATATATACAGTATATAATACTTATCATGTCATGTGTATATATATATATATATGTTTGTCAATCGTATGATTAGAAAATTATTTTTTTTAAAAAATCTATATATTAGTAAAAATATATCCGTTTTATGTGAAAAAAAATATATATATATATATATATATATATAGTACTATTATATGATATGATAGTGTAAAAATATATATATATATATATATATATATATATAACTAGTGTTACCAATTATTAATAAAAATAATTAAGTAAGAATAAATAAATAATTATATTTAAAAAAAATTAATATATAGAATCAAACATAATATATTTCAACAATTAAAAAAAATACAAACATAAATTTCAATTAGTAATAAAAAAAATAATAATTTTGTTTATATATTATGAATATATATATAAATGAAATTTAATTATTTAATAAAAAATTTTTTAGTTAATAGCTTATACCTGTAGTTTGGCAACACTTGTAGACACACACACACACACACACACACACACACACACAYACATACACACCATATTATACAGATATTTATTATCWAAAAAAATAATAATACAATAAAACAATCAATTAGTTTTTATTTTTAAAACAATACTTCAATAATAATAGTACAATTGATTAGTACATTGAAGTACATTAAAAAAAAATAATATTTTTTTTATGGTATATAAAGACACAAATATCTCATTAAAAAAAATCATTAGTGAAACACATAATTGATTTGTTTGTTTAACCCAACCATCAAATCATGAGATTAGCTATTGTATCGACACTACTACTAGTCCTCGGACTGGGCCTAACCTACGGCGATGATGAGCACCTGCACCGCATACCGTTGGTTAAGGTTGAGACTGTACGCCAACAGTTGCACGAAGTGGACACACCAGTCAGCGAAGCCCTACCATCACTGGTCAGTCGCTGGTCAAGACGTTTCCGTACSGAAGATCCCGAACCAATACCGGAGCCGTTGTCCAACTATTTGGACGCACAGTATTTCGGTGTCATTACATTGGGAACACCGCCGCAAGCCTTTAAAGTACAGTATACTACTACTAATCCATACATCCCTATCCTATATATATATATCACTATCCCATATATCCATATCCCATACAACCCTATCCCTATTACATACATATCTATCCTATATATCCCTATCGCTTATATCCATATCCTATGTATCCATATCACATATATCCCTATGMCATACTGTATATCTCTATACCATATATATATACCTATCTCCCATAAATGTATAACCAATTAAATACTAAATTATATGTATGAATTTTTCATCCCTGTCCCACCCACACCTAAACAAAACCAACAAATAAATAGGTAGTGTTCGACACCGGTAGCTCCAATCTATGGGTACCGTCCAAATCATGCAAATGGACTGACCTAGCTTGTAAATTACATAACAAATACGACTCGTCCCTATCCATGACCTACAAAGCCAACGGTACTGGACTGGAAATCCGTTACGGCTCCGGCAGTATGAAAGGTTTCCTATCTACCGATTCGATGGGTGTCGGCAGTGTCAAAATTACCGACCAGACATTCGGCGAGGCCACCGAGGAACCGGGTCTAGCTTTTCTAGCGGCCAAATTTGACGGTATCCTRGGTATGGGTTTCGATAGGATCTCAGTCGATGGTGTGGCCACACCGTTTGAAAATATGGTCAAACAAGGCCTGGTCAAAGTACCGGTATTTTCGTTTTATTTGAATAGGGATCCGACCAAACAGCCGGGCGGTGAAATTATTTTCGGCGGTTCCGATTCCAAACATTACAAGTAAGTTGAGGGTGGGTGGGTGTGGGTATAGATTAAATTGAACTGACCAACTTATACTACTAGTGGGGGGGGGGTAGCTCATAGAAAATATTTTTTATTATAACAATCATATTGTAAATATATATATATATAGCACAAGTAGGTTTCCTATACTACTACTACTACTATTACTACTACTACCATGATAATAATAATAATTTTATAAATTATAAATATAGATTTTTAAAAATTATACAAGATCAATTTTTTGTTGTATACAGTATATATTTATAAATAATTATAGTTTAGTTAGAACTTATAAATAATAATAATAATAATAATAATAATAATAATAATAATAATAATAATAGTTAACATATTAACAAATTTATTAATTACTATTTAATTAACTAATTATTTATTTAAAAAAAAATAAAATAAAAATAAATTAAATAGATATTATAAAACATTTTATCAACAAAAATAAACTAGCTAGTACAATTTTATGCATCACTAACTACTACTACTACTACTACTACTACTACAGTACTATATAATGCTAATAATTTAACCTAACCTACCTACCTACAGGGGCAACTTTACCTATGTACCCGTTACCAAACCCGGCTACTGGCAATTCACCATGGATGACGTACAGGTAGCTGCCGGTTCMGCATCCACTGACCTGTGCAAGGGYGGSTGCCAGGCCATTGCCGAYACYGGTACCTCGCTGATTGCCGGACCTGTAGCCGAAATCGCCTCACTYAACGAACATATCGGTGCTACACCGGCACCGGTAGGCGGCGAATACATTGTCGACTGTCAAAAAGTTGGCCAAATGCCCGACGTTACCCTMACTATCGGYGGTAAACCATTCAAACTATCGGCCCAACAGTATGTCCTMCGAGTCAAACAACTGGGTCAGGAAGTATGTATGTCCGGTTTTATGGGTATGGATATCCCGGCACCGGCCGGTCCCCTATGGATATTGGGCGACGTTTTTATTGGTCCCTATTATACGGAGTTTGATTTAGGCAATCGACGGGTCGGTTTCGCCGATAGTGTCTAAACTATTGATAATTATTATTATTATCAAAATAATTAAWTAATTAATTAAATTATTTAAAAATAAATAAATAAAGTAATTATTTATTTAAAATTGTTTTTTTTAATTATTTTTTTTATTTAATTATTATTATTGCTATTATTTTATTARTTATAATTATTAGTTATAATTATTAATTTTATCAATTTTTTWTWATTATTATTATTATTAATCTAGCATAATAAGCTAGACACTTAAACATAGATATATATATATATATATATATAGAGAGAGAGAKAKAGAGAGAGAGAGAGAGAGAGAGAGAGAGAGAGAGAGATTAAAAACTAATATATATTTTTATGAAATGAAAATAAAAGTTTAGATAATAATACTAATAATAATACTATCAATAATAATAATAATATCAAAGTTTAATTTTTTTTAAACAATTCAATTAGCAATAGATTTTACTGTATATACAGTATATATGATGATAACAATACTCAAGTATTAGATTTATAATTAATTTTCTAAATATTGATATATATATATAGATTTCAATWAAACATTTTTTTTAAAAACAAACCTTGAATTGTGTGACAATTATTATATTTAAGTATTTTTTTAATTTTGTTTGATTAATTATTATCTTATTATAACAATAATTAKTAATAAATAAGTTTACAAAMAAAAAATAAAATACTTGAGTAAAAAATATTTATAAAATAATATATATATATATATATATATGATAATTTTAGTCTAAAATTTAATCTAAAATTGCAAAATTATTATTTATTAAAAATTTAATTGTTATATATATYGTATTTTATATATTAATACAAAATTTTATTGTTGTTTATTTAAATTTATTAAATATAACAAAAATTATTAAACAAATAAAAACTATATATTATTTATTATCTAAATAAATATAAGTATAATTTTGTCATAAATTTTATGATTAAATTAAATGAATAAATTTAAAAAATTAATTATATAATAATATTTATGTAATAAAATAAATTTATTAATAAAATAAAATAATTTAATGTTTTTTGGTGTAATAATTTTGATAAATATAATATAGACTAATAAATACAMTAAATACAAAATTATTATATTTTAAAACTTATTATTATATTTGTTATTAAAATAATTATTTAATAACAAATAAATTATAAAYTAAATAATTAATAATTAAATTTAAACAAAWAWCAAAAATTTGTTTCRATATTYAATTTTTTTRTTGTAAAAAAAGTAAAYAATTTAGCAAAATATGAATATATTAGAAAAATTGMACTTTTTTTAGAAAATGTATATATTTTGGAAAAAAAGTATAAATTTTAGAAAAAAAGTGATTATTTTGGAAAAAAGTGTAAATTTAGGAAAAAAGTGATTATTTTGGAAAAATGTGTAAATTTAGGAAAAAAGTGATATTTTTGGAAAAAGTGATTATTTACTAAAAAAATGCACTTTTTGTTAGAAAAAATTACTGATAATTAATTGATTGACATATTAATWGATTTTTTTAAGYAAATAGTTTTAAAAAAATTGAAAAACATATCTAAACAAAAAAATTTTCATTTTATTTTTTTATTATTTAATTTTACTTAAATTATCTTAAGTTTATTAAATTTATTTATTTAWAAAAAATGATTTACTATTTTATTGTAATTTTAGAATAAAAATTCCTAAAAAAAAATGTTAATTATTTTTTTCTTTTAAAATTTATTAATAGTTAATTTAAATAAATAAATTGTAAAGATTTTTGACTATKAAAAATCAATTAACAACRAAAATTTTATCAATAATTTTTTATTTTTTTAATAATCAATAGTGTAATTAATTATCAATAATTAAATACAAAAATAGCATATAATAATAATAAGCTCATTATAATCAATTCAAACAATCATTTAAATATAATTAGAAAAATAGTTAATTAATTAATTAATTATTATAATTATAGATTTATAGAAACAAAAATAATAATAATAATATTTTGGATAATAATAATTATTATTWWTATTGAATTTAATATTTAATTATATATCAAATTAAACAATTTGAAAAATATTTTGAAAAAATAAATCCTAATCCTAATAATAATAATTTTATTAATTATGTAATTATAATATTAATAATAATTTTTATTAATTATGTGATTATATAATAATAATAATAATAATAATAAACTACAAGTCAATCAAATTATTAATGGCCACCGGTTTCGGTTCAAACACAACTCTAGCGGCCTTTTGACGATTATAATAGTCGTAGACCTGTACGGGTACGGGCTTTGGATTGGCTATACGGTGGGTGCGTTGTGCCGGTAGTTGTACGCAAATTTCATCGGCTGTAATCTGTGTGGGTGAGTTTTATTTAAAAAAATAATTAAAAAATAATATAACTAATTAGTATTACAAATTAGATAATAATTATATATTTAATTATATTTAATTAAATTATGTAATAATTATATGCAGTTTTTTAAAGAAGTAATAGAGAGATGGATAGAGAGATAGACAGAGAGATAGACAGAGAGATAGACAGAGAGATAGACAGAGAGATAGACAGAGAGAGAGATAGACAGAGAGAGAGAGATAGACAGAGAGAGAGAGATAGACAGAGAGAGAGAGATAGACAGAGAGAGAGAGATAGACAGAGAGAGAGAGATAGACAGAGAGAGAGAGATAGACAGAGAGAGAGAGATAGACAGAGAGACAGACAGATAGTAAAGTAAAAAATAAAACTAACAAAAAGTTTTTAATTTAAATTATTATATATTATATAATAGACGGACACATACTTTATCAAAATACAGTATGACTTGTGTGTCGCCCTTCTGGGTTTCGACACGTTTGACACGACTGTCCACTTTGCGAATATCGTCCAACTTTTCCAAATCGGCCACAAAACCCGACGGCAGTTCGGCATCAATTACAGCCATATTAGTGGCCAATCCGTCCAAATAACTAAATAGTTTCAAATTAAAAGCACAGTTAGTTAGTGGTGTTAGAGGACAGGTATGTCGTGTTGTAGTAGTGAGACATACTGTGTGCAGACATTAATATAGAGGAAATTATCGGTAGATTTGTTGTCCAATTTGGCCGTTAGAGCAAATGCTGGAGATTCCGAAGCAGTGGCCAAATTGTACTGATAGGACAACTGGACAATTGCCGAACCCTGACCTTCGGCACTGATATCAACCGATCGGACACTGGACGGCAGGTCTAGACGTTGCAAAACAATAGCATTTTGGGCATCGATAGCCATATCGCGGGCTTCTCCGCCATCGTTGCCAAACTGATACTTCAATTGCATCGATGTCTTGCCATCGGATGCTACCCGACTGGCCAGTGCTCCCAGTGCTTGAATACCGATAACCGTATCCTGGGTAGAGGCAAAACCACCCTGGGCATTTTGTTTGGATATCAACCATCGGAGTACGGGTACAGCCGATTCAATGTCATCCCTGGCCACCAAAACCAATAGGGCATAGCTAGTCATCTCAACGTCATAGGACTTGGGTAGCGAAAAATGTGCCGATTTTTTCTGGTCATCAGCACCGGTAGTGTTTGAACTTTTAGCCGACTCCTGCCACCACATATAGTCGGGTGACTTTTGGGCYAAACTAGTCAACCGACCGAAAGCCTGGTCTTTATGGGTACTGTTGGCCAAATGCARGGCATAGGTCATCAACGCTACATCGTATGGATTATCCGATGACTGAACTTCACGGGCCAATAGTTGGACAGTTTTCTSGATAACCGACTCCCGTAGCTTSAGAYTGATCGGCCGACTSGTCGTGTAGTATAGCAATCAATACATAGGCTGACAATACGGGCGATGATTCAGCCGATCCGCCCTTCATATCCTTATGTAGGACAACACCCGTTTCGTTGAACGATCCGTCCGGTAATTGTTGTCTCAATAGCCAATCAATTGATTGTTTAATTGATTGGTTGTCCATTTCGACCTTTCCGCGGGCCTGCAAAAATGATTTGATAACAAATGCAGTCAACCAAGTGCTACCAGCGCTGTCCGATTTGCCGAATGCCGAATACGACCCGTCATCACGTTTGTAGGTCAGCTCCCGTTGATAACCCGATTCAATATGTTTCAGGGCTTTAGATTTAATTGCATCGGTTAATAGGCCAGCTTTGGTCAGGTAGTCCAGTACGACAATGTTGGGTACAAAGTTACTAATTTAGTAATAAAATAAGATTAACCATTAGATAGATACCGGGGTGGGGGTGGGGTGCTAATACATATTGCTAAAGGGGGGGGGGTAATCAATGTGAAAGTATAGTACAATACTGTAGTTATGATATAATTATAATAATTTAATAAATCATATGTAATAGTGATTCACTGTATACTAGTTATTATTATATATAGTTATTATAATAATTACTATATTACTTGTATATTATTAACTAATATTATTAATAACTACTATTTAGTTAAATTATTATATCTAATTTAATTTAATAAATAATTAACTAACAAAATAATAATTATTTTTTTTGTTATTAATAAATTAATTATTATTTAGTTAGTTAGTTATAAAATTAAATTATGATAGATATAATAATTTAACTAAATAGTAATTGTTAATAATATTAGTAAATTAATCTACTAATAAATTATATATATATATATATATAAAATTTCATTTACTAATTAATTATTAGTAAATTAATTTTTACTATTATTAATAATAAAGTTAATAATAATAGTTATAAATTTAATTAACAAAATTTATATATATAAATTTTAATCACTAAAAGTTCACTGATCACTAACATCTAAAAAAATATCAATAATATAGTTAATTAAATAAATAAAAACTATTAATAATAGGTATAAATAATAAAACTAATAAAAAAATTATTTAATTAGTAGTTATAAGTAGTTATAATTTTTTAAAAATTAATTAATTAAATTGATTGATAATTACAGCATATTTTGTTCGCCACAACCGTATGGCATACGCAGCAAATCGTCCAAATTGTTGACCGTCGGTCCCATAATATCGCCGGTGGCCGACACCGACACTTTGGCCGAATCGGTGACAGCATCTTCGGGTACAGTCAACGCTAGGCTACGTTTGAATAGACGCTTCTCAGGTGTGGCACTGCCGGCACTGGCATTGTTGCGGAGGTCAACCAATACGGCTTTATTAAAGTATTGAGTCTGGCCTTCGGGTTTGACCAGCAATTTCTTGACAATAGCATCGCCGGCTGTATCCGATGTGGCAGTCAGTTTGATGTCTATATAGCCGACTCGGGTGGGCGTAATGACAAACTTGACGGCTACGCCATCGTTGGCCGGTATGGTCAGCGACTGGGATTTGGTTGTATTATCGGTGGCCGACACTTCATTGGGTGCATCGGTAAATCGGAACTCCTGTTTCTGGTTATCCATTGTAATCACGGCTTGCATTGGTTTGCTCTGGTAGTTGAATACCTGTGCCTGAAGGGCAACAGTCTCGCCCCGTATGATACTGTAGGGCAGCGATAGTTGTATGAAAAATGGCCGAAAAACGGTTACCTAAAGTTTTAAGACAATATAAAATTGTTATATAATGTATGGACTGACTGGCTATCATCACATCCCTATCCCACACCATACCATACCATACCTTAGCACTGTTGGCAGCTATACCCAGACCAGTATCATCATCGATGGCAAATGCACTGATAAACCATGAGGTAATGGTGTCGGGTATGGCACTGTTGATAACGGCCGTACCGTTACCACTGATTTTATTATAATTTTTTTTGTAAAAAAAATTAAAATTAATAAATGTATATAAAATTTTTAAAAAATTAGAAAATAGGAGTAAAAACATAAAGCAATGAATGGTATGACCGAAAATATCAATATACAGGTGTATATACAGTACAATATATATATTTAATAGGGACAGTCAGTTAAAAAAAAAACTATCACCACCGGTGCTAATTAAATTGTAAATATAGTAGAAACTGTGTGTATGTATGTATGTGTGGACAGGTATGTCTATATTTGTGTATGTGTGTGTGCGTGTGTGTGCAAAACAATACATACATGCAATTAAGAGGACAGTTAGTTTAGTTTAGTTTAGTTAGGTAGGTAGGTGTTAGTTAACATGCTTACAAAATAGTTAATAGTTAAACATTAGTTAATTTTTGTTAATATAGTTAATAGCATTCAAAATAAACTAATTAATTATTAAATACTATATTCAAAATAACTTAAATTAATTTTAAATAAATAAATATATATTTAAAATAAATTATACAATTAATTATTAAATATACAATATTTATATATAATATTTTATATAATATAATTAAAACCAAAATTAATTTAATTTAAATGTTTTTTGTAGAGTAAATATTACTGGGAACTTTATTTCAAGTAAAATTCCACATTATTTAAAAAAAATTATATTACCCATCATTTAAAGTCTATTTAAATTTTTTTAATAATAATAAAACTTATAATTTTTACTTATATTTAAGTAATAGTATATATATATATATATAAGTATTAAAAAATTATAATAAAATAAATTATTAACATTTTGTTAACATTTAGCAAATTGCAGGGAAATTGCAGGAAAATTGCTTGAAAATTTGCGGGAATTATTATTACTAATAATTAAAGCAATTGAAAAAAAACAATAATAATAAATTATAAATTATAAATTTACGATATATTAGTTGTCATCCATAACCAAGTTTCGGGAAATTTTTGTCTAACTTTTATTGACTGCTTTTTATTATTATTATGGCTATTATAGTTATCGGCACCTGTATCATCATCATCATCATCAGCAACAAATGTACGGGTAGTTAGCTTTTTATTAAAATGTCTAGCATTGGCCATGGGTCTAGCAACCATTGCCCTCATTTTACCCCCCTTTTTATGATAGTAATGCCCTGAAATTTTACATTTGTATATAATTATTATTTWAAAAAAAAAATTATTTTTGTTGTTATAAAAATAAACTATATATAGTATAATTGTATATAAAAAAAATGTAATTAATTAATTACTTTAAATATCATAAATTATTATAAATTAATTATATATATATATATAGAGTATTTATAATTTCAAAAAAAATTGTTAAATATATAAATTTCAAAATGCAACATGATAAAATAGTTAATTAATTAATAATCAAAAAATTAAAGTCAAATTAATAATAAATTTCAAAAACACACACACACACGCACACACATAGACATAATAAAATTTATATTTTAAAAATCACATATTACCTAGTATATATTTAGTATTACTATTATACCAATAATTGCACATATTTTCTATATTATATATATATATATATATATAATAATAATTATAATTTAATTATCAATATATAATCAATAAATTATTACTATTGTATAAAAAACATTAGCTATTAGTAGTAGTAGTAGTAGAAAATAAAGCAAAAAAAAATAACTAAAAATAATGTGTTAATAATAGTTAGGCTATTAATAAAACAAAACAAAAAACTAATAAGCATTTTATATATACGATAGACAGGTAGTAGTCATCCATAGCCAGGTTTCGGCAAAATTTTGTCTAACTTTTATCACTTGAGGCACCGTTGGATTTTGCACATGTACTACATTTTGTTTATGATGTCTATGTTTACGTATTTTATTAGTTGAATATAATGTTGATGACGATGACATAGACCTACTATCAGATGATACATTTCCACACATTTGTATACAATTAGATCTTATATGTGGTTTTAGTAGTTGTTGTGGTGATAATAGTTTTGATGGAAATACTAGACATGGGTTTTTAGAGATAAAAAWTAAATAAAGTAATAGAAATAGKAATATAGTAATATAGTAATAGAAATATTTATTTTTTTTTGCTAAATTATTTTTTAAAAAAAACTATTTAATATTTGCATTAAGTTATTGCTAGTTATATATAGATATATAAATATTAMTGATAAACAAAAATTTTTTTAAAATTAAATATATATTTATTTAAAAAATAAATAAATAAATTGTTAGTTTTTATTTAGCATACTATTAAGATATAGTTGAATTGTAGCAATTWATAAGCAAGCACATATTAGATTTTTTAAAAACAGTTAAAATGCAATAATTAAACAAAATATATGTAATAGTAATTAATTTTTTTAAATAATAATAAAATCTATGGATTTTATTATTAGTTTAGTTAATGTCGCAAATTATATAGATATCTATACCAAAAAATATACAATTAATATAATATAATATAATTAATATCAAATTTTTTYCATATCATAACAGATATATTATATAATATAGTTTTTTTAAATACCTKTATATTAGACACACACACACACACACACACAGTCAGCTAATTATATTTAATTATAATAWATATATATATATATATATAAAATAAATATATTGAATAGTTTAGTAAAATATAGTGTATATAAAAAAAACACTTTCAATTAGTAATCAATAATAATAATAATAATTGTTAGCTAATAATTAAAAAATWAAATTAAATTAATAAGCATTTTAATAGATAGAAAGATAGATATATACGATAGACAAGTAGTAGTCATCCATAGCCAGGTTTCGGCAAAATTTTGTCTAACTTTTATCACTTGAGGCGCACCGTTGGTTTTTGCACAGTATGTTTTAAACTTTTTTTATGATGATAATSATGGCTAAGTTTAGGCATTTTAATAGGTGATGATGTTGTATCTGACATTAACAAACTATCCGTAAGACATTGTTGTAAACCTATAGGTTTTAGATATAGTTGTTTTGATCGAAATACTAGACACGGGTTTTTAGAGCAAAAAATAAATAAAGTAATAGAAATAGGAATAGTAATATAGTAATAGAAATATTTATTTATTTTTTTTTGCTAAACAATCTATTTTTAAATTTTTTTAAAAAATATTTGCATTATGTTATTGCAATTAGATATATATAGATATATAGAAAATATTAATAATAAACAAAAATATTTTTAAAAAATTATAAAAATATATATTTATTTAATAAATAAATTGTTAGTTTTTATTTAGCATGCTATTAAGATTGTAGTAATTGTAGCAATTTATAAGCAAGCACTATTATTATATTAATTATTTAAAATAAACAGTTAAAAATAAATAATTAAACAATATATGTAATAGTATTTAATTAAGTTTTTTTAAATAATAAAATCCATAGATTTTATTATTAGTTTAGTTAATATCGCAAATTATATAGATATCTATATCAAAAAAAATTATACAATTAATATTGTAATGTATTTCCCTATTGGACCCCACTATACCCTATTGGGTATTTAGGGTACGCCTACCCGTTCCCATATATAAAACCCCAGTAATGTACTAATCGGGGTCTTCTAGTGTATACTATACTGTACTGTATATTCATATTATTACTGCTATATATTCAATAAAACATTTGTATATTACATTTTGTGTATCAATTATTTTTTTAAAAACTAAAGTGTGTGACATACCCAACCCGCCGGCACCGGGAATACAATTCCCTTCACAATTGGAGGTCCTACCGAGACCTTCCCATTGATTGTGGTCTAAAGTTCGGGGACACGCGCCTTGACGGTAAAGTGGGTCGAGTGGGAAGTGTAGGTACCATTCGGACACTTCAAGAGGAGAAGCAATTCCCGTTCGCATCCACTTTGGAAGGTCTGCAAACAACTGCACCGACGGATTGGATCCATGCACACCAGATCTCGAGGAAGAGTACCACCCGCTAGAAGACCAATACGACAAATTATGGCTGACGACCAAAACGCTATCACACTTCAGGATCTACGACAAGTTGTCAACGAAGTAGTAAGTGGCGGCCTTTCCTCTTTGGGTAATTTTAGAATAAGTAGCTATGAGGGAAATATAAGCAGCGAAGCGCAAGAGTGGATCGACGATTTTGTCGATGCCACTAATCTCAAAGGTTGGGATGATAATAGGCGCTTCAGTAACTTCAATCAGTTTTTAAGCGGCAAAGCAAAAAACTGGTATAAACTTTGTTAAATTGGCCGGCAATGCAGCACCAGATGATTGGGCGGCTTTATATCGAGCATTCATAAGATATCATGTCCCCACTGACAGGGATAATGAATTGCGTACAAAAATGATAAAAAGAAAACAATTAGAATACGAAGATGTAAAACAATACATCACTGATAAGCGACTTAAATGCTTAGACTATAACGCAAATATGCCAATTAATGAACAAATTGATTTCATAAGCGAGGGATTCAAACCAGAAATTAAAAAGTGCATTTATCAATTTAATAGCACTAGTATTGACGAGTTAATGACTAACTCAAAAAATATAGAAAAAGGCTTAAATAAAACAGGCCTAGATATCGACGCCTCTTATAATAAATCGGATAATAATCTTATAAATGATTTAAATAATAAATTTGAAAAGTTGTTCACGAAGCTTGACAGACAAGCAGAATATAGAGAGAAATTAGAGCGAAACAATGACTATGATAGATTTGGTAGAAAAATAGAAAAATATAGAAGTAATGCAAATTTTAATACTATTAATAATCGAAATGGAAACAATTACAATCAAAACACATTTCGAGATCGAGGGGGTTTTAGCAGAAACCCAACGTTTGATAGATTCACTAGTAAACAAAATCACCCCAATTCGAATATTACTTATAATGAAAGGCCTAACAGGTCATTTTCAGGTGGTGGACAATTTGACTCATACCGTAGAGATATATCCAGAGATAGAATGGACAA